GTGTTCTTATCTTAAAAGAACACAGAGGGTCCCATACGCACAAAATACCGATCCCAGATCTATCACAACAAAACCCTGTTTGTCAAATATTCTTGCGACTACAACCAGTTATAGCTTTCACATGGTCCCAGACCAACTTTTGATCAAAAGCTTTAGGCCTACCCTTTGGCTGCGCAGATTCATTCCTCAGCAAGAGTATTCACCAGGATGCCCAGGGCAGGGCTGGACCAACCTATTGGCCCCGTCTGGCGAAGGGCGGACAGCTGTCGACAGTTTCTTGGCCTTGGTCCCGCACAGTCCTGGATAATTGGATCTTGACTCCCGTAGTTTCGGCACCAAGAATGTTAGATTCAAAATATTGTGAGTTCATTTTTCATATTTCATATAGGACAAAAATGAATCTGAAGAGCAAAAGGATTCTGCTTTTCCTGCAGGAATGAGAAAGGCTGCTGCTCACATCCCAGCACCAATCTGACCCCCAACAGAACAGCAGAGACTTTCATTCACAAAGCAGAAACAGATGGGTGGGATTTATGACCCTAGAATGACCAACTGGCTGAGAGGTGGGTCATAAAAGTTTATGACCCTGTAAATGCCTTCTGGCTGAAGGCAAGTCTAAAATAAACCTCCTGATTGAATCACAGGACAGAACCAGAACCAGAATGTTTCATATGCCCACACATTAATTTTATAATTGTCATTCAATAACTCTAACACAGTATACATTCATGTCAAACTACAAGGTTTTTATAGTGTACTATAATAGCATAATCATTTCATGATTATCATCCATAATAAAAAATCTTATGAAATGTCATAAGACTTTCCTTCTCACTTCGGCAAGGGTTGCCCATTTATGGTTGTCCATTTGTGCCACTTTCTGGATACTGTTTTGAAGTGCTTCATTAAACTAAATCTTCTTTCACAATAAGCACTGGATGCTTTCATGTACCGTAGCACAAATATCCACAAACTGCTTTGGCTCCTCAGATCTAAATGGTTCTGATTGACTCCTGATCATGTTTTTGCTTCATCATGTAATTGAATAAAGCAGAACAAAAAAAGTACCATGGAGAACCGAGTTTCATTGTTCTGGAAGCCTAGACTGCTAAATAATTTGGGCCGCCACATAGTCTCCTTCCTGTGGATTATTTATATATGCACCTTTAGCTCTTTGATGTGCTAAATAAGGACATTGCGACTTTTTTAAAAG